CGGTTAATGATCGTAAAAGGTTCTGGGTTCCAGGCTTGGAAAGCAATAAGAGCAGGAAGATTTTATAAGGAAGACCCCCCCGAAAAAAAAATCTGATCAAGTAATGAGTTAAAAAATGCATTTTGGGGGGGGAAGGTGGTTTATAAGGGGAGGAGGAGGCTCTGCTAAAGGAGCTGGGGCTCCCCTTCCCACAGCCCTTCAGGAGGCACCTGGAAGGAGCAAGTGTTATTTCCTACAGCTCAAGCCCCCACCTCCGGCCTTCCCTTCGGGAGCAGAGCAGCCAGACGAGATGTTATCAATCGGCTGAACCTTACAGAAAGCCCCCTTTTTAAAAGCAGAGTACTTCCTCTGCTTATTTCATGTGGTATATCCTGTGGAACTGAACTCTCTCCTCCTCTCCTTGCTGGGTGTGTTTCAGGAAGAAAAAGGAAAAAAAAAAAAACACCAAGGAGGAGAAAAGATCTAACAACATCCTTATTGTGTTGTTTTGCTTCTTGCCTTTTTTTTTTTAATTATTATTTTTACAGGGCTTTCTTTTTTTAATTCTTCTTCCCTAAAGCTCCAGGCTCCAATAGAAAAAAAAACAAAAAAAACACAAAATAAAGAAACACCCCCAAAAAAACCCAACCCAACAATACAAAAAGGCAACGACAAGTTTCTCTGCTCACTCTCCCCCCCCCCCAAGTTTGATTAATTCTCATTAGGGCCTTTGAACAAACAATATGCTCCCCTCTCAAATAACAGACAGGGTATATATTACACCCAAAGAAAAACAAACAAGGCTCACTTAAAGACATCCAAACCCAACGCAATTCCTGGAGAGAGGCAGGGGCAGATGCACGCGCAGCCACCGCCAACGACCTAGTTCTGAAATTCCAGTTTCTGGGTGATGAATCCATCGTAAATCACGGAGATTTCCCCACAAAGGGAAGCACCTTCAAGCAGCAGAGTGGCCACGCAGGTAAATGGGTTTCAGACACTCTCATCCTGGTAGAGACAGAGGCCAAGGCACAGAGTTGGCTGGTCCAAGGTAGGAGATGAGGTGCTGGAGACACCTTGGAAAAGGCGGTGGGAGCTGGACTGGATGACAGTTAAAGGCCTTTTCCAATCCAAACCATCCCATAATTTTATGAAAATGCCAACAGGGGTGGGGAAACCATCCTTAAAACCCCCATCCTGCAGGCTGAAGAAGATGGCAAACAGGAAAAAGAGGGAAAACACAGAGTATCTCAAATTGGAAGGAACCCCTAAGGATTGAGCCCAACTCCCTCTGCAACACCTTCTGCAAAAAATGGAATCATCTTTTCTCCTCAGGACACCATGAACTTCATGCATGACATGTGGGATGCTGGTCACCCTACCAGGAGCAAAGCCCAAGCACAGCTCTCATCCCAGAGACAGGAGGTGTCACCACCACCACTAGGTCAAGGAGAGCTCGGCACCAAATCCTTCTGCAAGGCACAACCACACCTGCTGCAATAACCCACACATCCAAAGAAATGGGTGGCCAGCTTCACTTTGCCTACCCTACCACACCTCTTCCTGCCTCACTCCAAAAATTAATGAAGCATAAAGTTGGAATTCAAAGGAAATACGGGCTTTCAGGGATGGAGAACCTCACCTGGGACTTCAACACATCCTCTGCATGAGAGGGAAAGTGAAACAAAACTTAAATCCCCCTCCTGAGCACACCTCTCTCCACAACCCACAACCCCAGAACTCCCCAGCCATCACTCCACCTTCCATCAGCACCCTCAGTCACCGCAACCCGTGGCCAAAATCAAGGGCAAGAAGAGTTGTCTTACCTGAAAGCCCCCCAGGGGCTAGACAATTAGTTCCCCCTGTTTCAGTGGAGGAAGGCACAGAGTCTGGACAATCTGCTGGAGCAGAAGAAAAGAAGAAAAGAAATTCAGTATCTAGGTGGTTCTTCACAGGCTCCCAGCGTGGCCTCAGGCAGAACACACATTCCAAAGGGTTTAGGAGGAATCTATTACTAATTGTCCTCGAAGGAGAGGGTAGTTCATCAAGAAGCACCCACCCTAACTCGTCGCCTCCATCAAGGCAACGCACTGCACTTCATCACCAGCCAAGGCCGATTATAGACCAGACAAAATTACAGACTGGCTGCCACCCTCTTCTGGCCCAGTCACCACTGGGTAATGAGATCAAGGTCGTCGCCGTTGGGATGGAAGTGAGCTCCCCAGAATGTTCCAACCCTGGCTTTGTGCTTTACCCAATTTAGTCAGCACCTGGAACTTGCTGAAACGGTAACTGAGAGGGAAATTGTCTTGTGGCCACCCTTCTGTGGCCAACGGCCTAGGTTTGTGTTCCCCCACCCAACTTTTGTCACCCCCCCCAGCTGATGGCAGATCTTACACCCTTGCTGTCACCTCCTGGGACAGGTGGGCAACTGGGTGTACTCCTCCGTGTACCACCAAAGGGCAGGGGAAGTTGGGCCACCCCGTTAAGAGGTTTCTCCTGATGTACGGAGGCATTTGAGCTCAAGGTTTGGACTTTCCCATTCCAAGCCTGCTCCTCCAGGTGACAACAGCCAGGAGCCACCATCTATCCCCTGGTCCTACAGGCAAACTCCAGCTTGACAGTCACTACCATGGGGAAGTCAAGCTCAAGGCCACTGAGAAGTTCCATGAAGTTCACACAACATTCTGGTCCTCAGCAGGTTGACACAGACTGAGTTGCATCAAATTTGGGCTCCCTAATGACATAATTTCACTCACAGCTGTATCTCAAAAAAAGGGCCACCACCAGGAGAGCAGAGATCAATTTCTCCCTACTGACCAAGTCCTTTTTCCAGATCTCATCCCAGAAATCCCAGTGCAGAAGAAATTCCTGTCTGCAGGACTTCATTTTATCAGAGCGAAGTCGAAGCCCTAACAGGAATATACAGTTTAACAGGATACACTTAATCAAACCAAAAACAATGGGGGCGACAGGAAATGGACTTACTTGGGAAATACTGTATGTGATACACTCTCTAAATGCCTTCTCCTGCTCTTTGTGCTTTCAATAAATTTGCTTTTTCCTTGGGTTGTTGTTTTTTTTTTCCTTTTTAACCCTTTCTAGTCCCCACAGAAGATTCTCCTTCCCCTGAGATGCCTCCAACCACTCAGGCTATAGATGGTTTCTGAAGACCATTCTGCCCCACACTGGGCTCCATCGACCCCCAGTTACAGCTCCTCGATTAATCCCTGTGGGCTCAAGGACATCTTTTGCCCTTTCCATGTTGTCTAGGAATCATATGTGACCAGGTCCTCTGTCACGACACTGGACAGGATGGTGGAAGAGAATCCTGTCCTGACTTCAAAACCATAACCCTAGAAATGGAGTGAGGGGGGTTTTACAGCAACGCTGCTCTGGTTTCACTCCGAATCCTTTCGGTCTTGCTGCGCTGAGGCTGTAAACAAGGCCAACTTCAGAGTCCCCTGAGCACCTGGACTACTCCCTGAGCCACACCATCCATCAAAGGAAAGCCCAAGTCAGCACCCTTCCCATTTCCCACCAGCCAACAGCCAATTCCCTTCATCAATTACTCTCAGAAGCCTTTTTAGAGGCCACAGAGCTGATGCACCTCAACTCTGGACCAAGAGTGATAGTCAGGTGTGGGGGAAGCTCCAAAGTGGGACCCCTCCTGGGCTCTCTGCCCTACACATGGCTGGTTCCATCCTTGCACTCTTCCCACTACCTCCAGATCTGCCAAGGGCTCTTGCAAACAGTGGCTATTTGGGCTCATTTTATTTTCAGCACCGAGAGGTCACGGTATCAGAGGTTGCAAACTGCGTGTCAGTCTCCTCCCAAAACTGCCTTCCCTCAATGTAAAACCATCATGGAGATACAATTCTTCCTGGTGGCCACCATCCCAAGCTTGCAAGGTGGTCAATAGCTCCTGGAAGCTGTCGAACCTCCAACTCCCCTGAAAATCAATGCTGCAGGAGGGCACTTGGCTCTGCAGCAACATCTCAGTGGGTTTCCTGCACTCTCAGACTCCAGAACCACCATGACCAGCCACCCAGGAGCACAACAGACACAGCCACTTGCAACTCCTTGTCCCACTTCATGATGGCCCTAAACATCTGTTTGAATTATTTGGAGACACTACTATCCCATCTCACTTCCTACACAGCTGCACGTGGCAGCTCCTGCAGGGATACTGGGAATGCTGAGCTTCTACATGCTTCCAGGATAGCAGGAGCAGCCCAGTTCCATGCAACCCACCATCAGCCATCCCTGCAACCATCCCATCTAACAAAGAGGGCAAGTCTTCTCATTCATGAATGAGCAAGCCAACCTGGACCTACAGTGTCCCTGCAGGCAACCTGGCTGTCAAGGGCAGGTGTTTCTCCTCTACAGCAAGCACACAAACACCAGATCTGCCCTGCCAACATGCCACTGACATGGCATTTCACTGCCTGCAGCAGACCTCCAGCTCCACTGTCCATCCCTGCTGTCCTCCAGCCAGTGACACACCCTGTCTCAGCCTCCATCAACTCCCCTAAAAACATTTAATCCCCACCATCCTGGGTTTAAATGAAAAGAAAGAAGATTCAGACTAGATATAAAGAAGAAATCAATTATGCTGAGGGTGGTGAGACCCTGGCCCAGGTTGCCCAGAGAGGTGGGAGATGCCCCCCATCCCTGGAAACATTCCAGGTCAAGTTGGACTGGTCTCTGAGCAACCTGACCTAGAGTTGTCCTGCTCACTGCAGGAGAGTTAGTCTAGATGGCCTTGGAAAGGCCCCTTCCCACCCAAACCATTCCATGATTCTATGATCATGGGCACTGGTGACCACTGCCAGAGCCCATGCTGGTCCATCCATATGAAGCACTCAGAAGACACAGCACTAAAACACTTCAGTATTTTTAGTACCACTATCAGTCTTAATGGAAAAGCTGAAGTTTCCTGCTGGCTGCAAGTTCCCAGCTACACTGGCACACACGGTTGCCCAAGTCCAAATGGAGGGATTTCTCCCACTTCACGTCCCAAGGGAGAAGATGGCTCACATGCATCAGGCAGACAAAAGGCTTCACACCTCCCCATCACCACCTACTGTCCCTCTTCCATCTAGCCAGCCCATGGATCCTAGCAATCCTCAAACACACAGCTGGGAAAATGCCACAGGAGATGACACTAATGCCAAGCCAGGAAATCCTCGGTCCCTCCGCAGAGGAAATGTGGAGAAACCCTGAGCTTGCAAAACCCACCTGCCGCAGACTTCCAGGCTCCACTTGTGCCTGTCACAGCCCCCTTAGCCCAAGGGTTCAGCTGCCAAACGGGGTTTTTCTTCCGAAAAGGAAAAAAAAGGAGGACTTTCTGGTGAGTAACCCAGTTGTTTCTGCGTTTCCGATGGGCAGCGTTAATCACTTCCTATTGGCCAATAGGAATAACTTTTCCTTTCAAAATGGCACATTCATGTTCTGCAGCTTTTCTGTTTACACACGTTTTGCTACCTTATGTCAACACTTGCTAATGAATAAATATATCACTCGGCTAACAGAAAATGAAGGTCCTGGCGAGGCAGATTGGACGTTTCAACCCTGCTAATAGATTTAGCCCAACATCTTTACAAGAAACCCAAGGCAAGCCTGCCACTCCGAATCCTTTTCCGGCCCACACCAGGATCAATGATGAGCAGAAAGAAAGGCCAAAATCCACATTTTTGGGGGAGAATTCCCCACACACACAGTCAAACGATACCAATCTCAACTCGCAAAACCTTGTGAGCCAGCAGACCCTCAGAACAAATTATAGAATGACTCTTCCCCCCATCCCAGCATGTGCTTGGGATACTGAGCCTCCTCCCAACATCCCTCCTTCATTCATGAGCCTTAATCTCCTGTTTTTTCATGCCGAGGCAAAACATTTCATGCTTTGCAACCCGATTGTTTGTTAAACAGCTTTGCTTGTTTCCACAAGACATAAAAAAGTCTTATTTAGTCTTTCTTTGAGGGGAAAAACGACAGTTCAGACTGCGAAGGGAGCAGTGGGCAGGATGGGATCCCACCACAGAACCCCAAGCATCCAACACAACCTCAACTTGAGGTTTTCCTTTAGTCCTGAGAAACTAAAGAGCAGCAATTTTACAGAAACTGCTCTTTTTGGCCAAAAAAAATATAATAAATACATGCCCTGATACTTGGTCTTCAGAACTACATCTCTCTTCTCCCTCCTCTCTGCACCACTGTCCCCTTTCTGCCTGCTGGGACCAAGGGACACCACGACCACAGAGACCACCGTGCTCCAGCCAACCCTCCAGATCCCCTAATCCTGTGGGAGCCAGGAGCTGCTCAACCCTAAGCTCCCCCCC